CTCAACTCAGTCGTGGATCTCGGTATCAGATACTCTAGTGACTTAACGTTCTCTGAACAGACTGATTATGCCAAACGTAAAACACGAAGGCTCCTAGGATGCATAACTCGTGATTTTTGTTGTGAAACTAGGGTTTTATTATGCAAAGTATGTGTCCGACCTATTTTAGAATACTGCCCGTTTATTCTTAGCGGACTCAGGCAAAATGACAAGCTTAAATTAGAAGGAGTGCAATGGCAATTCACCTTAAGAACTCTTGGTTTAGAAAGTGGTGTCCAATACTATAAACGCTGCGACAGACTAAGTTTAGAACCACTCTGGAAAAGACGTCTTAAGCTAAACCTAATTTTTTACTACAAGCTAACTAATCTGCTCGTGCACTCCTCCGAGCCAATAATTAAACCTACCGCTGTCATCAGTTACAATCTTGGAAATCATCACAACCTAGCTGCTATAGAGCATTGTCAGACTTACATGCGGTACAACTTCTTCTTAAATAAGTTTTCAGTCATTTGGAATAGACTACCAGCTGTGTGATGCAAACGCACTCCCAGTGTTCACCTCCTCAGTCACCACACTGCTCAAAGATGACAATTCGCTTCTGCGTCTGACTCTTACACCCTCTTTTTCACCCTACACAGATATTTTAAGTTTATTAAACGTGTAGGTTACAACAAACTTCAATTATAAATTTTTATATTATTGGAATTACATGATAGACATTTCTACATAGGGCAATAATTCACACGTAATATAAAAGTTAGCATCTCGGGAATAGTTAGTTAGTGCACCGAAATAACTATAGTTACTAAACAGAATATAAATGTATATATTCATATTAATCACTCCTTGATGACTCCACTTGCTTTCTTTTGCGTTGCTGCTGTTTGTCTTCTTTTTTCTCACCATTTAGCTTCCATTTGACTTTTTGAATGGGAATGAAGAATATGGATATTTAAGCATTTACAATGACAAATGATCTGCAAACATTATTGGTCCCATATCTTACAATTCCCTCGTGAATTACACATTACCTTTCCCCACGACGCAAGCTGCATTACAGTTGTGAAATATACCTTTATACCAATAAAAAAGTATTCTTTTATAATACTTTACGATTGTAACTTACAACATAATTGATCGTGTCTGCAAAATAGCTTGCATTTCTTGAAAACACCCGTTTATAAGAAAATATAAACTGTTATTATTATTAGTCCACATTGAGTACAATTCACTTGTGATGTTACGATGGAAATGCTGACAAAAGTACACAAGTGTATCACTTATTTTAAATTATTACCAAATTAGGACATAAATCAAGAATAAGACTCGATGCCGTACACACCAAAGTTATATGGGGGAATGACTTCAAGCTTTATTTTTTCCTCAAGTGTTTGTAATCCATCCAAAACATACTTGGGTTTTTTTGTTAATGCGAAGACAATATTTCTATATTTCTTTATGTGCTCCATTGAGTGACTAGTTATCAGATTGTTCCCATAGACAAAATGACTGAAACCACGTTATTTAACCATGAACCAAATTTATGTAATTTAAATAATACTTATCCATGCCTGTACAATTGGTGTGTCCAACACAGGTAAGAAAAAGTGTATTTTATTAAATTACTATTAATAAATATGCTTGCTAATCGTATATGTAATTTATCATATTGGTGATGCCCGTAAACTGGCGTCCCTCATGTACAAAATGAGAATATATTATTATTATATTCAGATGTTCGAAATTCAGTCACGAGATGTAAGGTTCATTAATGAAGTACTTGTTTCTGTAGCGACCAACTGATGACATCGAGAGAGGTTGGTGACATAATGGATTAGGCCACGAAATCGTACTTTCATAATTTGAAAGATCGTGTTCAAACGCGTAACCTGAAGAAGGGAATTCAGGTAATATTGTTAAACACCCGCTTCGTTTTATAAGTCAACGTTAAGTCAATATGTAGTAATCACAACATTGTTTTTATTTCTAGGCAAATGGAAAAGATCGCAGGGGATATAACAGTGGCAGTTATGTAAGCAAACTTTTCTAAATGTAAATGTTGAGAATGTGATGAGCACAAGTTTCATCAACTAATATTTTATTTTGCTTATTTACAGGATGCTACCAGTGGACCAAAATTAACGGACTTGCAGTGACATTGCACTACAGTTTCCAAATATAATTTCCAAATTTAAGCTCGAAAAATTGCCACTATGTGCTAAATTAAGTCTTTTCGTTCTGAAGTAAAGCTAGTCCGTGCTGAAAATGAGCTGAAAGGATTTAAATAAAGCTGATAAGCAAAACCAGTAGGTTCTGATCTACTCCTGAAAATGTCTAGAAAAAGAGCATGACGTTGAATTAGTGTCAGTCATGCTGAAAACCACAGCTGTGTTCTAGACTGTGCCATTAAAGAATCTATTTAAGAACAGATTTAGAATTTACTTACTATAGAACATTGGAATTATTTCAGAATTAGTGAGATTTAATTCAGCATTATGGTAAGCTTGGGAGGAGCAGAACCTGGACTAGAAGGGCTGCAATAAGGCTGATAGGCTACTTCTGAAAATGCGTAGAAGAAGAGCAAGGTGCTGAATTATTGCCAGTCATGCAGATAAACCAGCGCACAGTTCCAGTTTAGGCAAATAATCCGTAACTGTTCTGCAACTGTTTGATCCAACAATGGCAGAACAGTTAAGGAGTTTACTTACTGAGGAATGTTACTGTATTAGCATAGTATACGTGAAATGGCTCAATGATTGCAGATTTGCCATAATCCTTAACTACCTACATAATAACTGGGAAATTCAGGCTAAAAATGAGCTTAATAGAAGCATCCAGTGACAAAAACTGACCCCCACACTGCAAAATGCGTAAAACATCCAAAAAACCTTTAAAATTCAATGGAAAACGAATTCACGAAAACATATGACCAGCCGACGCAGGAACTCATCATGACCTTGAAACTGACTATAGTGTCTTTCGAAATTTTGGTAGCCCAGGATTTAAAAAGGCCGCCACAATTCATGATATTATTAGATTGTTACCAGTACTGGTAGGATTCATGCGTCCTCACGTATAAAGCCTTCTCTATGTTATTCGGTCGGTGATGCGCAGTATTTTCCGGAGAGCGGAGTCAATATCTTGGATATCCTGTACATATTGCATTTATCCTGTATGGGCCCAGATCCAGTCCTGTTTTAGTACAGCTTCGCCCTTTGTACTGTGCCCCACCATTTGTTGTGGGCGCAGCAAAAAATGGATAGGATCCTCTATCCTGTAGTCCCCGTAAGGTCTGATTTGCGAAAATCGAAAGTCAGATGGTCATTTTTTGCTTGAACAAAGTACACAATTTTTCAGGCGTCGATTGAAGGATCAGCTATCACACTGCCATACCAAAGGAATAAGGTAATCGAGTACACATGTTCCTGTATCCGGTATCTTCAGGCATTTTGTGTCGACCAAAGTAGTGCTCGAATTGAGCGAACCATATTTCAGGATCATGTTCATGGAAATCAGGTATCGTAACTCGTGCTTATTAAGGAATCTGTTTCCACGGAAACAGAGACCGACAAATTTGAACTACGGTTGACCACAACGAAATAAACGTCATATTATTTGTTAATGGGTCTCAACAATTTAGTGAATAACTCTCCTGTCGAGATAACTACAAAATCTATCGACGGACGGGAGGTGTAAATTAAGAAGACAAGCGTTCTTGTTGAACGTGTTTAATAAACGGGTTGCTGGATAAGTGAAGCGGAGATGCTTAATCTAACAAACGGAAAGGGAATCATCATTCATTGTCGTTCGCTAGGGGAAGTAAACCTTACGAGTAATGAAGAAGGTACACCACATCCTGTGTATTGTGGAGACTTCACGTGGGCAGTGACCGAGACGCAACTTCCCTAGGAGCGGCGGTTCAGTTAATCTTCCTTGAGGATCTAGTTTAAAGGTTATACATCAAGTGCGTTTGCTTTTGCCTAGCAACTGCGGAGTTGAGGTTGGCCAGGACTCTGATGCTACTGGATAATCCGTTGCCGTATGCCTCCACTGGAGATTCTTCTCTGTAACATAAGAATACCGAATGTGTGGAACAGCTCAAAGTGGTTAGCTTAACGTCTCGAGAACTACAGCAATTCTGTCGTTTGGAAACCTGTTTTAATACTGCTTTTGCCGTTGAATTTCAGACACCCGACTGCTATGAGCTACTTGATACTTTGTGCTTTCTGTGTTACATACTGAAAACATATCCATAGACTGATATTTCTGTCGACCCTGGAAACTAGTGATGATTATGAAAAATCTTATAACGTAATGCAAACAACATTTCTCTATTCTCTTAAAGAGTTTTGTTTTGAAGGTCTAGTTAAATTGAGATTCTTGTGACAGTTTCTTCAGTCATTCTAAGCCACGGTTGGCGAGTGCAGGGAATGCGTGTGGAAACTGAAGATCAGAGACTTTCTAGTCACCAGGGGGAATGAAAAAAAGATCTGTACTAACACTTAAGACCTTTGTTGAACATTGGAACCACTGTCATGAAGTTGTCATAGTTATCATCACTTTTCTCAGTCACTCCAAAAGCTCCTACCTTTTTGAGATGGCTGGCAGTGTCTCGACATCCTATCCTCAGTGACAAACACATATATCCCCAAAATGTTGCCCTAATCCCACCGTCCCCATAGTATTTTTAGTCTAAGGGTGACGTTGTAGAGGAGTAGGAGGTCAGTTGGATAGCTGGTTAAGGGAACTATTCAGAACCTTATATCGAACCTCAGTACTTCAGACAAAATGTCTCAAGAGACATTTATCAACAATGTAAAGATTTGAACTTCAAGTGATTTCCCATTCTTCTATAGACATATGACTTCATTATGTGAAGAAAGTACGGCGTAACATAAAAAATTTGCACTTTTAATCTTAATTAGTGTAAAGAGGTATCTTTTGTTGCTAATGCAATTTTAAAATGGAAATTGAATACTGCTCACTAATATGTGTTTATCTGTTATGTAGTCTGGCGGCACTTGAACGGCTCGCAAGCACAGTAATCACAGTGAATTGTTGGCGTCATCAAAATGGTGAGTGGTGTTATGGGGTTTTCAGTGATGTTGGCCAAAATGTAAATATTATGCATGCTATGTATTGCTTACCTGCGTGCGTATGAGTAATCTGTTATTGTCAGCATACACGGATCATTGAACGTGATGATGCATCCATGGATAATAAATACTACTATGTGGTTTGGTTGAGTGAGGTATTTCGAAGACAGTTGAAGATGACGCTTCAGTTCTCTCATTTTAGTAGTCACCTGTAGCATATTTATTTACTGGTATTAGTAGGGGCAGCGATTTTTTATGCAGTGTTTGGATGTGCACATCTCAATCTAAGCGTACGTCTGTGCTAAGTTCCACGTCAACGGGTCCATTTCTCAACGTCATATGGAATTAGTAGAGTGAATTTCGACAGTGTGGTTTACTCACATGTCTGATAAATTCAGGATCACAATAGGCTGTGGGCATCACATCGTTAAATTGTATTGGCTGGTCTTACCTACAGGTTTAGTAGTGTAGTGTTGTAAAGGGAGCAGAAGTTAGCCGAGACACATGGGTATATTTACGAAACTCTTGTATTCGTGGTCATCAGTGGCTCAGTTCTGAGACCATATTCGAGAGTATTTCATTAAACAAGCAAACTCGGAATTTGATATCTCTGAAGATGCGTGAGGTATGAGTGAACACGGTATCACAGTAATTTGGGTAGCGTCAAGATGAAGGTACATTTACAAGCTGTTATCACAGTAGTTCAACTATTTGTAATTACCGTCGAATTATGTATTGAGTGCGTTTGCTTCAGTTAAGCACCATGTTCAGTATAATCTATCGTGCTGTTATTAGTGTAACATTTTTAGTCTTACTAACGTTCTTTTTTTCTTTTCATCAGGTCAAATTTACAGTAGATGAGTTGCGTCGCATGATGGATTACAAGCGGAATATCCGCAACATGTCTGTCATTGCTCATGTAGATCACGGAAAGTCGACTTTAACTGATTCACTTGTGTGCAAAGCTGGCATCATTGCAGATTCACGTGCTGGTGATGCTCGTTTCACCGACACACGCAAAGATGAACAAGAGCGTTGCATCACAATCAAGTCAACTGCTATCAGCTTATATTACGAAATGTCAGATGAGGATATTAAAAGCGTTAAGGCCATCCAGCCAGTCGCCACCAATGCTGAAGGGAAAGAAGAAAAGGGTTTTCTTATAAATCTCATAGACTCCCCAGGTCACGTTGACTTCTCGTCAGAAGTGACTGCAGCTTTGCGTGTGACGGATGGTGCCTTGGTTGTAGTTGATTGCGTATCTGGTAAGTTTTAATTCATCGATGTGACACTTTTTAGGTGTATGCGTACAGACAGAAACAGTCTTGCGTCAGGCTCTAACTGAACGTATCAAGCCTGTGTTGTTCATGAATAAGATGGATATGGCAGTCATGACTTTGAGCTGTGACATGGAGGATTTGTATCAAAAGTTCCAAAGAACAATTGAAAACGTCAACGTCATCATTTCAGAGTTTGAGTCAGCCAATACCCAAATGGGCGATCTAGCAGTAGATGCTGTGAAGGGGACAGTTGGTTTCGGTTCCGGTTTGCAGAGTTGGGCCTTTACTTTGATGACATTCGCTAGATTATATGCTAGTAAATTTAAAATTGAACCAAACAAGATGGTTGAGCGACTCTGGGGAGATAATTTTTATAATATTAAGACCAAAAAGTGGACGAAAGAAAAGCCTGCTAGTGATGGTGTTCGAGGGTTCAATCAATTTGTACTGTCACCCATTTACAAGATTTTTGAAACTATTATGAAGAAACCTAAGGAGGAGCAAACTGACCTACTCACTAAAATGGGCATATCACTGAGTGAAGCAGAGAGCTCTCTTCCTGACAAGCAGCGTTTGAAAACAGCATTGCATAAATGGCTTCCAGCTGGTGACTCTCTTTTGCAAATGATATGTATCCACCTCCCTAGTCCGGTGACCTCACAGCAGTACAGAATAGAAATGCTCTATGAAGGGCCAATGGAAGATGAAGCTGCTATTGCAATGAAAAACTGTGATCCAAACGGCCCTGTTATGATGTACATTAGTAAAATGGTACCCACTTCTGATAAAGGTCGCTTTTATGCATTCGGTCGTGTATTCTCTGGTACAATTGCTACTGGTCAGAAAGTCAGAATAACTGGTCCGAACTATGTTCCAGGAAAAAAAGATGACCTTTACGAAAAGTCAATTCAGCGCACTGTGTTGATGATGGGTCGTTACACTGAGGCGATTGAAGATGTTCCCTGTGGAAATATATGTGGTTTGGTAGGCGTAGATCAGTTTATTATCAAGACTGGAACAATCACCACCTTCGCTGGAGCTCACAACTTGAGGCAAATGAAATTTAGCGTCAGTCCAGTCGTCCGTATTGCCGTTGAGTGCCAAAATCCAGCTGATCTACCGAAACTTGTTGAAGGCCTGAAGCGTCTTGCCAAAAGTGACCCTATGGTTCAGGTAAGTGGTCATAGCGCCTCTTCACTTAATGTTCTTATTTTAGATAACCACTGAAGAATCGGGTGAACATATTATAGCCGGTGCCGGTGAACTACATCTCGAGATATGCTTGAAAGATCTTGAAGAAGACCATGCCTGTATTCCTTTGAAGAGAACAGATCCAGTTGTTTCATATCGTGAGACTGTAACAGAAACCTCAAGTCAAGTTTGCCTATCCAAATCTCCAAACAAACACAACCGACTCTATATGCGCGCTTCTCCTATATCAGAAGAAGTAGCTGCAGAAATTGATGCAGGCAAAATAAACGCTCGTCAAGATTTTAAGGAGCGTGCTCGCTATCTGGCAGATAATTATGGTTGGGATGTTAACGAAGCCAGAAAAATATGGTGCTTCGGTCCAGAAAACACAGGTCCAAATGTTGTGATCGATACTACAAAAGCAGTTCAGTATGTTCACGAAATAAAAGACAGCGTTGTCAGTGCTTTCCAATGGGCAACCAAAGAAGGTGTACTTTGTTCGGAAAATATGCGTGGAGTTCGTGTAAACCTGGAAGACGCGGTATTGCACGCAGATGCAATTCATCGTGGTGGTGGCCAAATCATTGGTACAGCACGCCGATGCTTTTATGCCGCTGTCCTAACGGCTAAGCCTGGGATTCTAGAGCCGGTTTATCTGGTTGAAATACAAGGTCCCTGTGTTGCAATGGGCGGGATTTACAGCACTTTGAACAGAAAGCGTGCTATCACAATTTCAGAAGAACGAAAATCCGACAGTCCGATGTGTGTTATCAAGGCATACTTACCTGTGAACGAGTCATTCGGTAAGTGTAACTACGTACATTATATTTTTTTCCAGGTTTCACCACAGATTTACGCGCGGCAACTGGTGGTCAGGCTTTCCCTCAGTGTGTCTTCGATCATTGGCAGACATATCCTGGTGATCCACTTGAACCGACGTCAAAACCAGGACAAGTGGTTTTAGAAACAAGGAAACGTAAAGGTCTTAATGCCGGTATTCCTGCTTTGGATAACTACCTAGACAAATTGTGATGCCTTATCTGTGTAATCTGATATATTATAAATAAATCAATTGTGCTCTCTTGGGTTGTGAACCTTCTACAAATAGTGCTTCAGTGTAAAGTTATATTGTTTTCCGAATAATTAGTGTTCTACAATGCATTTCACTTCGTAGGGACTAATGTGCTTTACTGTGGTACTGTTAAGAGAAAAACATTGTTTAACTTCGAATTGTCGTCTGCACTCAGCCTATTGTCACATGTAGTTCATTTTTTCGAATTGATTGTTTCTACTGTGGATTTGTTTTTTCACATTTCTCATCGACTTCAATTGTATTTTAGTGTTTCATAGTGGTATTTTCCTGACCATCCCATTTCCGAAGCTCTGAGCACTCAGTTATCCTGATGCCGCCTTGGTCAGGAGTAGTTTTGAATAAGAGTGAAAGTTAAATGCCTATCACTTACTCCAGTTTACCCTTTTTCTAACCATGAAGGTTGACGGAATATTTCAATTGTTTGGCCAATAATGATTTAATAATTCCCATCTTAGCATTAAGAACGCAATATTCAGCGAAGAGACTTTTCAACGAATTTATTATCAAGCTGTACAATCGTTTATGTATGGTTTTTAAGGAATTATATCCGGTTAGGGAATTAGGTCAAAGGTGTGAATACATGAAATAATAGTATGAAATGCAAATAAAATATTTGTGATCATAATCATAGTTTAATGTCAAGTGGCAAAATAATTGATGTCATAAATAGAATAATACATAAGGTGTATAGATTTTGGAAAGGGGTACGTAATTATAGGAAATTTGATGAGATGGAATTCAATAATGAACAACCAACCCTGGTAGCTAGACTCTGGATTACAGTGAAATTGATTGTTTCAATATCACACTTTTTGATCTAGATTTCTGAGTCTTATCAGGCGCGTTTACCCTTCAGAAGTGCAGCGATAGTATGTTGTAAGGTAGTAATGGATCAATAATCAGTCGCCACTTGGTTGTTCATTTTTGAAGTCTGGTCTGGTGTGCAGTATTGCATTCAGTTAATTTCTGGTTTATTTCTTTCTACTAAAACCTTTCCTAAATTACTGAGTTTTGCTTTGCTTCATTCGTTTAATACCAATTTATGCTGTTGTGAATCGTATCAAAGTTAACTTTTTCAGTCTCCGTATTTATTAAATCGACTGGTTGATTTTTTGACGTAGATTTTTACGTAGTAGTTACCTTTCCAAGCAAATATTCACCGTCATTAGGCTCTTCAAACTGGTTAAGTGGAAATAAAGATTTAATCTCGATAAAGTTGAACACAGAAGTGCAGTACTTCAAGTTACATCACTCCATATAGAGCCCAAATGTAGAGAGGGTGGAAATACTCAAAATGACTAACGAGCGGAGAAGTACGGGACAAAAATTAAGTAAATGGAGAATTATGAGGACTTAATGGACTTGAGAGAGTGGATGTACGTACTTCGCCAAGTCTCCAGCCGTTGCATCTTAGCAACTCGAAGTCCCCAACTAGACAATCTGAAGTTCTTTAGGTGGCTCAGACCAACTGTCAGAAACTCCATGGACTGGTGTCACATTACGACTTCAACTGCCCTAATTTATGTAATCCAAGGTTGCATTACGAGAAGACCAGTTATGACAGTTTTCTGCATAGAGCACAGAAGGTGCAGTGTTGTGGGTCTTAAGTGTGGTGTCAATTGTTAGTTTTCGTCACGTTACTGGTCAACTATTTACACTCGACCATTAAAATGATGCACATATATTATTCTTGAAGGAAATTTCCGGTATTCATGTACTCCTTTTATTTTCAGTCACCCCTAGTGCAACTCTGTTCTTTTTTCTATTGCCAAGACATACGATAACGTGAATCCCTATACCGTCTCAGTCGGTGCAGATTCACAACCTCATATACTGACTTCCCTCTCCATTGCCAACGCTGTTTAGCCTAATTATTACTTGAGGTATTATACCACTTAACGCGTGATATAGAGCGCAAACATCTGTGGTCGAAGCCAGCTAACTTTTTACGTCACACTCTAAGTAGTTATTGTTCTCACCGAACTGCATAATGCAGCTTTGTTGAAACTGTGCGGAAATGGTGAGACTTATTTTCAGACCAGAAGGTATCTTGTATTTTTATGATGGTTGTGGGCATGTTGACAATCCAAAGATTAAGTGAAAATACAAGTGGCCAGAAGTAATCGTGACACTAAAAAGAACCAGTTAGTTGAAATAAATATTGGAAGGCTTTTCAGATGTGTGTCATATCATACGAAATCGAAGCTTAGTAATCATAACACTGTTAAAAAGGAAGCCAGGGTCTTTATAGAGATTTTGTATACCGAACGTGCACTAGGAACTGTATGTAGGATTCTTAATAACGGTGAAATTACTAAGTGTTGCGTATTTATGGTACACTTAAGGATCTCAGCTAGCTGAATGATTAATACTTGTTTAAATTTAAGCGCATCGGTGGTCCAGTGGTAGAATACTCTCCAACGGTGCACGTGGTTTGCTTTCGACTCGTTGCCGACACTCCTTGAAGTGGGTTTGCCGGTGTTGAGTCATTGGGTATAAAGCCAACAACTCCACCCTGGAAAAACAAAGCCACCGCTACTGCAACTTCCACTCGGAACGCAAAGAAATGAAAATGAACGAATCTCATCACATATATAGACAAAACGCGGTGGTATTTTGTGGTCATTAGTGAATTTATATTGTGCTCCCTTGTTACACTACCTCCATGAAATCTCATAATGACCTTAGAGGTTGGAAAAGTCAAGAGGGTGATTGACCCACATTTTCGTATTTAGATGCCAGTATTTTCCTAACATCCAGCATTCGACGCGTGCTACCATAGTTGTTTCAACAAAGTTATAGTTTACTTTTGACCTATGAACTCCTGACTCAGACATTTTGTGCATATAACGCTGTGGTTTGTTGTTCAGGGCTATCTTAGCTTTACAATAGTTCACAAAAGAGAAGACTAGATATTCGTCACAAGGCCTAAGCTCAGTTCGCTAGAAGTCAGTTGCCCGGAATAAATTTTCCATGCATCACAGTTTAGATGTGAATGCTTATGATACTGTCGAAGTGCCTCTGGTGAAATGGGCGAAGTGTGCTTCGAAACCCGTAACCTAATGGTTAAAAGCTAGTCGCTAGCGCCAGTAAGTTATATCTACAGAAAGTCTGCATATGTAGGATAAGTCATAAATATTCGGCGTACTGAACAAATTAACTGTAAATCTAAATTTGGAGCGTGACAAAACAGCTGAAATTCTTCGAAGCAGATTGTCAAGAGCAGTTTGAAAGAAGTTTCTCATTATTTCCTTAAGTCCTGCCTTCTCCATGCAACATATTGTTGATCAAAATATCAAAGACAACGTAATATTGGCAACATCCTTGTAGGTATATCAGCTCATCTGTTTCCCTGGAGTGTTCTGCATAAGTCATTTCAGTAGGACATTGTCCAGACATGCACGCGAAAATCTGTCATTATATAGGTCAAGAAGAGGCAAATTAATAATTTAATTTTATAGTACCCTGTTTTTTCACACCATATCCAGGCGTCAATAGAAAGTGGTATTTATGGTTAGGTCGCTATTACCTCTCCTTTTTTGAAACTAATGGAGAAATTGTTGTTACTAAAACTTGTTCCCTCCCTAAGTTTCTCAAACGATTCAAAGCAGTTTCCTTACAAACAGAGTAGAAGTACTTTAGATGCTGCTGCTGTGTTTCATCGCAACATTGTATCCTCCTTAGACAAAGGGGCCGAGTATGTCCCTTGATTATACATCTGCTTTCGACTCTGTACCTAGAGGCCTATTGTTAAACAAGCTTAGCCTTACACAAACTGAGCTCTGGGCTATCAACTGGCTACACTCTTACTTCTCTGATAGGATGCAGTACACGGTATATAATGGTGTATCTTCCTTTCCTTTGCTTACTGAAGCTAGAGTTCCTCAGGGTGCTGTTCTCTCTCCGTTTCTCTTATCCTTCTTCTTACATGATTTACCTGTTTCAGACGAAATCATCTTCGTGAAATATGCAGATGACCTGACTGTATCGTTTCCCATTAAGTCTCAGTCAGACTGTCTCAAATTAAATAGCTTCCTGTCGGACATCAGTCAGTGGTCTAAACTAAATGGTCTCATGCTGAATCCCTCAAAATGCCAGACTATCGACTTCTCCCTTAGGCATAAACGATATCTACAATCACTAGTAAGTACTCATGAAACCTGTTGCATTGAGGGGACTAAAAGTGAAACTAAGTCTAATGCAAAATACCTCGGTCTAGTTGTATCTTCCGACCTTACTTGGACATCTCATATCCTAACGATTTCTAAGAAAGTGTTCTGTCTAACCTACTACATTGAGAAACTTAGACAATCTGGAATCACCCAACCTCTACTTTCACAATTTGTCAACTCTTGTATCTTACCTATTCTACTTTACTGCTCCTCGTTAGTCTTTCCTGGTCTACTGAAAAAGGACTATGCCATCCTGAGAAGGATGTTGAAGGTAGTTAGTAGGACTAGTGGTGTAAAACTCAGTCAGCTCGTCACTACATTAGTTGAAAGACATCTGAATACATGCGGAAAATGGTCTAAAACCAAACTCTCCGACCCCCAACACCCCGTCTATTTTCAACTCTCGCCTTGTATCTCATCAAGTAGAACCAGAAATCAGTATAAAATAATCTATGCTCGTACAACCAAGTACAGGAACTCAACGATACCATACTTGGCCCGTGTTCTAAGTGACAGAGACAATGTTAAGCGCGAAACCTATGACTTGCTTTGTTATTAACAACATAATTTTAGGCTCTTTTATTTCACTCTTATTTTGTAATCTATAGTGATCACCTTCTTAAACATACTTAGCTACCTAAATTATTAACATTGGCTTACTTTTTTTGTACTTTACTCTATTCCTTCTTTTGTGCATCTACTGGTTCCGACTATACTAACACTATGAGTATTACAAAATTGTCCTGTCATTAACCATCATGTAATTATTAGTTTTGTGGTTGTTGTTTTTTTGTTCGGCAATATTAACTGACAATCTTGGT